GTGTGTAAATTGCAATCCATTTTGTTGTATAAAAGCATTTGAGTTCAGATAATCCCATAGAAAGTAGGCCTACGGTATTTTCTAAAAAGTTGATAGCTAGAAAATAAAATGAGAAACGGTGGCCTAATTGATAAAATTATGTATCAGATGAAATCACAATGTAAATCATGTTACATAAATAAACACGTACATAATTATACGTTACATAAAAGTACAATCCCTCAAAACAACAGTTAGCTATGTCTTAAAAGGAAATAGTCTTTGTAACAAATCTATGGGGACAAAAGTGAGAAAATGCTTTATACAAGCGTAAAATGATTCAAACTATTGAGCTATCATTAACTATTATTAGTTTCCACTTTCCAAGGACGTTATTTCAACATAGCATTTCTAAAAATGTCAAAACATTTATATGAGCGTCTTTGCTGTGAAAATAATCGAATCAACAAGCAAATACTGTAACAACAATCAATATACTACGCAACATACTGTACTGCATTCGGATGAATCAGAAACAAGATGGTTATTTTAATGACACTATCGACACATTAGACATATGAAAAAAATTTAGTTAAGCTAAATATTAACAATCAACGTAACACCAAACACTTAATTTTAACCTTTTGTTCATTATTTTCTTTCACAAGTTTTACTTTTGTCTAGCCTAAAATATTTGTGAGCTTGTAGACAAAGCAGTTTGATCAAATCAAATCAAATCAAAAAATCCTTTATTCAAACAGTACATTTGTATACATGAATTGTGTCAAGTCAAGAATAAACATAACTATACATAACTATTGATTTGACATACTAATAGCTAATTGAAAAAGTCCCCGATCTTGTAGCAGCATTTATCTGACAACAATTTGAATAAACTGGTTTTAAATCTTTTAAAATCTGTCAAACCCTTTATGGTGCTAGGCAGGCTATTATACAATTTTATACCAGAGTAATATGGAGAATGTTCAATGGTGGAGGTGTTATGTCTAGGGTATGTAAGGCTATTCTTTTGTCTTGTGTTATAGTTGTGAAAATCAGAGTTATTTGGAAAATTTGATAAATTTTGTCTTATGTACAACATCAAACTATATACATATGTATATACTAGGAAAAGTAAGAATTTTATGATTTTTAAAAATACTCTTACAGGATTTTTTTCCTTTAAGTCCAAAAATAATACGGATAATTCTCTTTTGCATTTTAAAAACTTGTCAACCGATTTAGATAAAATAATGAACATAAAATGTGCTTTATTTAATTTTTTTACTACTTCACCAATATGATTTTGCCAAGTCAATTTTTGATCCACTGTGATGCCTAAGAATTTCACTGAGCTTACTGAATTTAGAGAAAGATTCAAATCTAATGTTGTTGATGGGTCTGATTTCTGGTAGTTTTTTTGGAATTCCATCATAAGAGATTTATCTTTATTTAACGCCAAACCATTTGCTTCAAACCATTTTTCTAGCTGAAGGAAATCTTGTTCAGCTGTTTGTTGCATGAAAATTTTACTATGATCAGTGAAAATAATGGAAATGTCATCAGCAAACATTACTGATTTTGACTTAAAAATCGAAGGTAGGTCATTAATATAAACCAAAAACAGTAGTGGACCAAGTATTGAGCCTTGTGGCACACCCTCTGTGACTAATTTGAAATCAGATTTCAGATTTATTAACCGTAGGTCCACACACTGTTTCCGGCTTGATAAAAACGAGGTTATCCACCTTAAAGCCATGCCTGACACACCATAAAAGTTTAGTTTTTGTATTAACAGGCTATGGTTTACACAGTCAAATGCTTTTGACAGATCACAGTAGAGACCAGCTACTGCCTGTGATCTGTCAAGAGCACCTGTGACTTCAGTAATAAAGCTAAAGATTGCATCTGTCGTACTCCGTCCCTTCCGGAATCCAAACTGACATGTATCCAAAATTTGGGATGTTTCAAAATGACCACACAATCTATTGAAGACGACTTTCTCAATTATTTTTGAGAAACTAGGCAATAAAGAAATAGGTCTGTAGTTGGATATATCTTTTGAGTCACCCTTTTTAAAGACTGGTATTATGTTTGATAGTTTTAATAGGTCAGGGAAAACACCAGTATACAAAGAAATGTTTATCAAATGAACAATGGGTTGAGCGATAAACTCTGAACTTGATTTCATTAATGAAGTTGAAATTTCATCCCATCCAGAGGCTTTAGATGACTTTAAGTCTTTTATTATGTTTTGCACTTCTTGAAGGTTCACCGGCTTAAATGATATAAGTTTGGACTCGGGAGGGATTCTACTGTGTAGGAAGCCAAGAGCTTTGTAAGAATCTGAACCAACATTCAAACTTTTACATGTATCAGAAAAAAATTCATTAATTTGATTTAGTTGCGTCCTGTCAGACACTGAATGCAACAAGAAGGGGTATCCTTTTCTGCTGTTGTCAGTTGTATTAGTCTCTTTTTTAACGATATGCCAGGCTGTTTTAGTTTTGTTACAGGATTCTTTAATCTGATTTCTGCTGTACAATATCTTAGCTGATTTTATACATTTATTTAATAATTTCTTGTATTCTTTTACATAATCTTTAAAACTTGTATCATTTGACACTTTACTAAGTTCATGTAATTCCCTTTTCCTTTTGCATGAGACTCTAATTCCAGTTGTTAACCACCCTTTATCACTATTTTTATTATAACATTTCTTATTTACTAAAGGAAAACAAGAATTAAAATGCAGTTTAAAAGTTTGAAGAAAACACTTATAAAGTACATTTACATCAGTCATTATTTCAGATTTGCTAAAAAATTCAGTCCATTGTTCATACTTCAAAACGTTAACAAAACTATCCAAATTTTTTTTACTATAATTTCTTTTTAAGGATGGACTGATTTTTTTCTTTGGTTCCAATTGCCTCTTTTCAAAATAAATATAATCTAAACATAAACACTGTGTTAAGTGGTCAGATAAACCATTTTCTAAAACTATTGCTTTTCACAAGTTAGGACAGAAATTTGTGATAATATTGTCAAGACAGGAACTAGAAACATTAGTAATTTGAGTTGGAACATTGAAATGTGTAAAAAAATTAAAGGAACGTAAAATTGATAAAAACTCTTCGGTATTTAAGTCAGAATTTAAAACATTGATATTAAAATCTCCTGCAAGTAAAACATGAGCCTTAGGGGTATTATTTACACAATAACTTAAAAGGAAATGGAGACGTTCAAAAAACACATCAAAAGCAGTTTTGGTATAAACAGTTGGTCTGTAGAGACACAGTACAATAAGATCTATGGGTTTAACTATCTGGACCCCACAACATTCAAAACTTGACTCAATCGTTAATTCTTCAAAATCAGGCCTATGTTTAATTTTAAAATGATCATTTACAAGGATAGATACTCCCCCTCTTTTCTGATTTTCCCTGCAGTAAGACGCAGCGTTTTGATATCCATCAAATTGAAATAGTGGGATTTTACAATTAGATGGGACCCAGTGTTCCGAAAAGCAAACTACATCCGGTTTTCTGTTGAAACTATTGAGGTATAAATTAATTTCATCAATTTTATTGTTTTGGGTGATGCCTTGGATGTTACAATGAAATATTGCAAATGATCTGTTTCCCAAAGACTTAGAGGTGTAAACAGAGCAACTGTTTACGTGTCTGTCACTGGAGGTTGAGTTGACTCTAAAAAACTATTGATGTGATTTAAATTAGTTCTATCAGGTGTAGAGAATCCTAGAAATTTATCATTTGCATTTCCCACACAACTATCATTTCTAAATGGAACTACAAAACTATCACTAATGCTATCTTGTTGAGGCCGGCTAACATTCACTGCACTATTCCCCTTATTGACTTTATAACCCCCCGTTTCACACACTGCTGGACACTCAGGAGATTGTGTTGACTCTGCTTGGCTGTGCTCTAACTCTACAACTGACTTGACTCCGTTACTTCCACATGGGCGCTGTTGGGAAGACTTCAGTGCAGACTCTCTCGCCATACTCTCGGCCACAAGAATTTCATGACGAAGTTCATTTATGAAGTTAGGAAAGTCGAGTCCATTATAAAGTTTTCTGGATGAGTTTTCTGGCTTTGCAACTACACATACTGCTGCCCCTGTCTTTATATGAAAGTGCACTATGTTCTTAGCAAAGTTTTCAATGGAGATACGGTCCCTCACACAGCCCATTGGAGAGCATACCAAGATTTTAAAGTTTCTTGTATTGACGTTGCTAACAAGGTGTGAAAAGCACAAATTATAATCTTCTAAAGAGGGTTTAGCAGAGAATTTTGATTTTGTCATAAGCCCGTAAATGCCTGCTCCGTTATCGGTTTGCTGGAACGATAGGTATTTGTTGAGAATGTCAGAGGTCTGTGGTCTTCCAAAAATCTTCTTAAAAGTTAGAGCCACGCCTGCGCTCATGTTTCTTTCTTCGTGAAAATCACTAGATATACAGTGCGCAAAAGCGACTGAGCTGTTGTTCTTCAAGCGGCTGATAACGTCAGACATATCTTCTTCAACTATTTTTATTCCTTCCTTCTCCTTTATAGTCTTATTGGTGTCAAGTTTTTTTATTTTTTCCAGCTGTGCTTTGATCTTTGTTTGTCATTGTTAGATCTTTGTTAGTTTCTTCTTTGGCTTGAGAGACGTCCGTTGGTACTTGTGGGAGCTGGCTTGTATTACTTTGTTCCAGTAAGGATGCTTCCAGTGAACAGTCAGACCTGGTAGTGGGGAGTGAATCAGATTCTTTTATTTAGTTTACTTTATCTTTGGTAGCGAGTGGTGGAATAATTGATAAAGAGTTGATTGAGTTATTGATGCAATACCAAAATCTCATTTAGTCGTTAATCAGCTGTTCACTTGCTTTTGCTTTAGGATTCATTCATCTGGAAGTAGAGCGAACAGAGATTTCGGTTCTCACGCCCTTGTTTTTCTTTATAATTTGCTCAAAGAGGCACAGAGAGTGTTGTATTATTGATGTTTGATTGTTTCAGTGATGTAAACTATCTGAGCAACACTGCGCCTCCCGCAGCGGCAGAATGGACCAGCCTGCTGCGACCACTGCGGGGACGAGAGCCGGAGGGGATGTGGAACTTGCTCTCCATAGTGAGGGAGATGTTCAAACGCAACGATCGCAACGCACTGCCTCTCCTAGAGATTATTACCGAGGAGTGTATGGCTTGTGAGCAGGTCAGTAGGCTACACACACAACAGGACAATGTTTTCCGATTCAAAGTTCAGTCCTGTCTATAGGATTAATAGGATTTTAAATAGTTTATTCTTGTTACCTTTTGCTTGTTGAGTATTTTTTCTCGTTGAACTTAAATTATTTTTTGTTTAAATTTGAGTATTGCTCAGCTCTTTTCTTGATAATTTATATTACCACTGTTTGCTTTTCATAGATACAAATTACTTTAGCTACTTTAGCAGACAATACCTTTGCTATTGTCTGCTTGCTAGTTCACTTTCATGTCTGCACTTTATAAATTAACTAGCAGTTAACCTGCGCGGGTTGCTGCGCTAATAACTATTATTTTAGATTGTAATTTTTTTCTTTACGATAAGTAATAAAAACGTATGCTAAAAACAAAATTTGGTACTTTCCTGTTAAAGGGAACATTCATTATTATCGATGATTTTTTTCGATATATCGATATTAACAAATTGAAACATATCAGCTGACAACTACGATAAATATTGTTCAGTATATGAAACTGTTATAAAAAAAATAACCAAACATAACTAACCAAACTTGCTGTAACATTTAAAAGTTCCGTGTTTAACTTGCCTTTTCTATTATCAAACCCAAACGGAAGTTTTAAATGGTACAGCAAGTTTGGTTGGTTATGTTAGGTTAGCTTAGGCGGGTTACACACCGGTATCGCGGATATGATGTTGTCGCCGATATTTTTCGTGCCTGCGACATGCCCCTCGAAAACCAACCTATGTTAACTTATGGAGCTTTACACACCAGTGTCGCAGACACGTTGCCCGCGACTCGTGTCGCAGACGCGTGTCTCGAGCGAACCAACCGGTTGGTGTTTGGACAGACATGTCTCGTGTCTCTTGGGCCCGCGCATGCGCAGAACACGTTTCTAGTAGTTTTGGCGCTTTTTTACTTACTTTATTGCTTTATGGTGTGGAATGTAGTATTGTGATATAATAATACTTCAATTGACACCATAAGGAAATTACGTAATACAATTAATTACAATGTATTTTGGAAAAATTACCATGAAGTTATCTTTAATGTTTTTGTAGAAAGAACAACAGCAACAACATATCATCTTCTTCTAAAGATGACATTAATTATTTTATTACATGTCGCAGACATCATGTCCGCGACATCAGAAATATCGGCGACATTATATCCGCGATACCGGTGTGTAACCCGCCTTAGAATAGTTTCATTTTTTAATCCATATAGACTATTTTAGCCTAAACAAGATCAGTTAGTTGTTGTTGTCAATTTGTATTTGTAATAGATCTGATCGGAAAACAAAAATATCGATATATCGAAAAAAATCATCGATAATAATGAATGTTCCCTTCAACAGGAAAGTACCCAAAATTTTAATATTTAGCCTATTTAACTTAATTGCCAGTGGATGAACAAAGTTTTTTTGTTTTTTCATTAGGTGTATATATACGTTTTTAGGCGTACCTACCACCACGTGAGCACACAACATACAGCTGTCCGTGTGAAAAGCATGCATTTTCTAAATTTAAACCGGCGATAGTCAGGAATTGCCCTATTGCCTTATGATGGTGATTACAAAGACGCAAAGGAAATTGTAGTCGCTTGAATTCAAAGGGTAATTTGGATGTAATCATCGGTATTCTTGGGATTAAGAATATTTCTCCTTTAAACTTACCACTGATGATTGTTGCTTTGATCAAGTTTGGTGTCATTTTTTGAATTGTCATAGTCTGGTTCCGTTTGACAGCTTGAGTGGATTAAAGTTAGCATTAGTAATATTAGGGGTGTGCGATGCAGCATGTTTTTTTTTTATTCAATGCATCGATGCGATTCAAAGAATTTCAATTCGACATGATTTTCTTTAAAAATTAAATACAACATGTGTTTCTGTAATGGATCCTTTACCTTAAAAAAAGTTGAAGTAAAAAATGTACTAGGCCTAAATAAAATTATGAACAAGAGTAATAGTTAGTTGCTGACCTAACCTCACTAATGGACACTGCTAATTTTATGGTTGGCCTAAGGAAATTCACCCTTCACTAACAATTAGAATAAGCCTATATATCAATATAGCAATCGTTAAGTTTATTATTATTGACCTGTATTAAATAAAATAAGAGTTTATTTTATGATGTAGGCCTAGTAAATTTGAAAATGTGAAAATTGTAACTTAATTTTCACATTTATATTTGTTGGCTTTCAATACTTCTGGATCATTCTTAAATCAGGACGAACCAAAAAAGTTGATAACCAGTGTTTACTGTCTATTTGATACATTATTGCATGCTATGAATAATAGATGTGAAATTAAAAATAAAGATTGAAAGTAATAAAAGTGTGTGTAAACTAAAAAGTTCAAAGAGATCAGTAAGGCCTACCAAAAAGATAATAAGTTAGTTATTAATTAGAACTTAAATAATATATAATGTCATTTTCTCACTATTTATATCTTCAACATTGTGTTAAACTATGAAAATAAGTCACTAAGTCTAGCTGAAAACACATTAATAAATTACGATATCTTTTAAATACAGATTAATAAAATAAATCACATTTCAAAAACATTTTATTCCCTAACTTTTTCCCTTGAACAGGGTGAGGAGGCCAACATTTTTTTACTGATAATCAACAAAAATTATCAATTATAATTTCACGAAAGCCGCTGATGAGTGAGCTGTGAAGAGCAGACAGTAATGGAATGACGTCACTACCACAACAACTCAACTCTACTGCGAACTGCGAGCGTTTAGTGTGAAGTGAAGCACCCCCTCCCCTGTCTAACGGGACAAGGGGTAGGAAAATAGAAAGTTTGTCAGAATGGCAGACTTGCCCTTTGTAAAGTCTGGTTCACATGCCCTCCCTCACCCTCAGTCGCTTGCATAATTCTACTAAACAAAAGTTTCTGAGTGTTAATTTTAAAATAAATGTTTGAATTCAATGACTAAAGCATAAATCTGATAGAACTTTACTGTAATTTATAAATGGGCTTATCAGAATTTATCAGCCATTTGCCAGTTTTTTTTCTTCTTTACTTTTAAATGTAAAGATATATTTTAATTTAGCCTACAAGAAAAGAAAGAATATGTTTTGTTTGGGACTTAAATCTCCTTAATAAAAGAGAAAAGTTTGCATATGGATCTACTTTTTGGTGCAATATTCAAGTGCAAGCCTAACCCTCTGATTTCGACGATGTTGTAATTGAATCTAATTTTTCTAATGATGCGTAATGCAGGGATGAAACTGAACATTTAGACAAGTTTAGGTTATTTATTTTGTTCTAAAAATAAAAATAATACATTTAAAGGTCTGACTTATTGATACAGACATTTTTTAGTGTAATTTCGTGTTGAGGACACTCGTCTGAGACTTAATTCTGACTGTCTGACATCTTGAAATGTAGATTGTATTGTGTTGTGCAATATCATCTGCCTGCAGAGAACAGCTGAAGCTAAACAAGGGCACTTAAGCTGTTTTAAACTAAATAGTGTTCTAAGTTAGCTACTAAAGTTGTTAGCGTGATTAAAAAACTAATAGCTATCAAATAATTAAATATTAAAATAAAATATCTATCCATCCCTGTCGGGTGGCGGAATCGGGCGAAATCGACGTTTGGCAATCGATTCTTGATACCGATATTCCTAGTATCGACAATGTCCGAGTATCGGTGGTATCGATAATCGACACATCCCTATCTAAAACTCATTTTGGAGTCCTAAATTAGTTTTAAATATGCATCGGGACGTAATCGTTGCATCGGGACTTAATCGATGCATCGGTCTTTTTCGATGCATCGAGGCCAAATCGATGCATCGTGATTTCGATGCATGCTGAATCGAATGCATTTTCGATGCATCGCACACCCCTAAGTATTATTGGAGTTCCTTCTTTTAATGATATTAATGTGGTGGGCTAATGACAAATTGGGAGGCATTTGAATACCTGAGATAGCTTGCACGGTTATTATTCACTTAATAATTTATGTTAGATTGTGTGGGTTAAAACAAAAAATAACAATACCAAGGCATTTCCATCACTTTTATTATGTACTAGCTGGCCCGACAGACGTCGTCCTGTCCTAATGTGGTTTTATGTCAAATGCTCAATCATTTTCAAGATGAGCTCGTTCGCATGGCTCAATCACGCCCTAGTTGAAGTTCATTCGCTACGCTCACTCACCTTTAGGTTGCTGCTCGTTCGCTGCGCTCACTTGCCTTCAGGTTAACTCGTTTACTACGCTAACTCGCCTCCAGGTTGAAGTTTGTTCGCTACACTCACTCACCTTTTGGTTGCTATAAGCTGTAATAAGCTGTTGTCATAAATAAAAAAAATAATAGTGCTGCACCCTGTTGGTAAACCTATTAAATTTTTGATGCTATTGAACATCACAGAATCAAATTGTTTAGTTGAACCAGCTATTAAGATTCTTTAATTCCATTTAAATATGACTACTCATAAGGTTAACATGGGAAACTCCAGAGCCACAGGAGCGGAGGCCTTTTGACGGATCTGCACCAAACTTCACACAAACGATCCTTGAATAATGCTTAATAATGCCTGAAATTTTCATTACAATCTTTCGAGCGGTTTCGGTGTTCGTAAAGAACAAACAAACAAACATACATTGGATTTTATATATATAGATACTACTTTGATAAAGATTTTTACATTTTATGTTCCCATATTTAATAGTGGAAAATTTAAACTTTGTTGAGTGCACAGGTCTGCTGCGATTGGAGTTTAATATATTTGGACTTATCCAAAAGTAAAATAGTTTTCTGTGCTGCATTCTGTAGAAACAGTGTGGCACTATTTCAAATGATGACTAATACAGAATGTTGTGATTATTCAAACCTACAAAGTAGGCTACTTTCTAAAGGTAAGCCTGCTTATCCTATCCTTTGTCTCCTTAACCATTTACTACTACAGGCAATAAACCCTTTCTGTTCAAACCTGATTTTTTATACATACGTGATAAAATTCCATGTTAGGCCACCTTTTAAATGCTTTTTGATCTAACCCTACCCATTTTTAAATTAACCAGTCTACACTTTGTATGTAAAATGACACTGATTTATATATCCTATCTTAAATTTGTAGATTTCTTTGTAATGCAATTTACTAGTTAATACTTTTTATAAATCGTAAGTTAATGTTCAATGTCCAATCAATGTCAAGAGCAGGGTGGAGAATTTCAGGCAGCGATCTACCTGGCATTCATTGCCTTCGAGAAAGCATTTGACTCCGTTAGCCATAGAATCTTATGGTATGTACTTGAAGATTGTGGAATACCAAAGAAGATAATTAATATAATAAAATATCTGTATGACGGGTATCAATGCCAGGTACTGATAGCAGTGGTGTCACGTGTACATTGTTTGCAGATCCTGGTGTGGTGGTTCTATACTAAGGTGGCGCTGCACGCTGGCTACAGTGGAGGTGGAGGAGGCAAGCATGGTTCTGTGACCAGCAACAGTCAAGCGTCACAACACGCCTGCAGCTCTCTATGTGATGAGATAGTAGTGTTGTGGCGGCTGGCCGCTCTCAACCCTGCCATCTCACCAGCACAGCGCAACCTGCTGCGCAACCAGTTCAGGGACTGGCATCTCAAGGTTATCGAAAAGGTAATTCTAATATTTTTTTACAAATTTTTGTTGTCCTTTCAGAAACTAAATATTATCATCAATCAATAGGCCTACAGGAGTTCACACTTGAAAACTAGACTAAGGAATTTTTTTATTTTAGATGGACTTTGTATATGTATTTACCTTTTATTTGTACTCGTATTCAACAGGTATTGTTACCTAGAATATATCATTCCCTAGATAATTGATTTTTACTTTTTCTCCCATACATAGTATGTGGGGAAAGAGTTGATTTCAGAGTTTTGGGTTGCAATATCTGTTTTGGATTCCCAGTGTTCCCAACTGAAAATGGTACAAACGTATAAACCTAAGTTTATTCTTAGGAATTGTTCAAAACAAGCACATTGGACTTTAGGGTTCAGATTTGTATTGGGGCTTTACAGGGGTAAAAATTGGGTTTTCTCTTTTTTTTCTCTGTCAAACCATTAAATTAAAATTATTTCTAAACTATTTGGTAAAGGTTGAAAAACAAATAATTTAATATATTGAAGTGGTTTTGTACGCTTAATGGTTATAGGTAGAATTCCAAAAAACTATAAATTATAAAATTCCAAGTCACAGTCAAACAAACATTTTGGAAGAAGTTGCAAGAAAGGTACAGAAGCTATGACATCACTCATTATGAAATAAACTTTTTGCTGAAACAATGCACTGTAAATATTTATCATGAACTTCTCTCTAGATTATCATCGTCGGGGACATTATCATCGTCTCCAGCAATGGCAGCAAAATCTCATCATTTCCCGCATCCGTGAGACATCATTTTCGTCTTCGAAGTTGTGGAGACATCATCATTGTTTCCTCGTTCACAGCAAAATCCTGAATACTCCTCGCGGTAACGCAAAAATAATGAATGTCTTGCGCGATCCCCGGGCAGTATTCACATTATTGGACGTCCGACATCGTATCCCGCGGCCAAGTAGATATTATCATTGTCTTCCCCAATCGTGGTCATTCTGATCATCTCCCGCAGATGTCTTGACATCATTATTGGTGGTCGTGTAGGCCTTATCATTGTCTTGTGCGACTGCGGCCAAATTCATGAAAATCTCCCATGGTCTTGTACACATTATCGTCGTCTTCCGCAAACGCGGCAAAATTCTGATCATCTCCCACGGCCGTGTAGACATCATTATCGTCTCCTGCGTTCACGGAAATGTCATCTTCGTTTAGTGTGATTGTGGCAATAGCGGTTATTTACTAGGGGTGTGCGAATAGTGATTTTTGGGTTCAAATCGAATCGAATACTTCATAATATTTTTGAATATCAAATATTACCGAGCGAATATTTATGTTATTATTATAGACTCCAAAGAGTTTTCCAATCACACCTTTGGGACTCTACTAAGGTTAATAATTCTGATTTTAACCAATGTAACATTTTAAAATAATTGATTTTTGCCCTTACATATGTTATTTGTTCTTGGTACAAAATGGTACAGGCTTCCAGTATCTTTCTCATTTTATTTCATTGATGTTACTATAAAAATTATATGTAGTAACATTTCCTACATTTATGGTTTTCTAACAACAATTGCAGTTTCAAACATTATCAACACCTATTACTCCTAACATGATTAAGTCAAGAAAAAAAAAACAGTTAAGATAAAGGCTTAACCTATTGTACTACTCAGACAGGTCATAGCCATAATAAATTAGTGTAATATATCTTAAGAATATTAATATCTGTTGTAGTTATGATTTCCTTGTACATCACGCCACTATGATCGTATGATTTTAAATAAATCTCATTGGCTACAAACATCACCTGATCCCCTCTCCACCTACATCACACCACCGTCCATGTCCGTCCGTCCCTACAACAGAGTCTACCTCCAAAACTCAAACCTTAACCACTCGTTTGTAGCCGTGTGTTAAACATGTAAAACTATCGTATTTATTTTATCAGTCCACTTCCTAAGTCCATTTCAACCCACGAACACAGCAAATGGCGACGAGGTCGGTCAAATTTACATACCGCGCAATGCAACTGTTCGATTGTGCCGCGTAGTGTAAATTTCGAACGCGTTTGTGAATGTCGGACGACGAAGTGGACTTAGACTTACTACCGTTGTTTGAAGATAGTGAAGTGTCGAGTTACTCCAGCATGGCCGGGATAATTGGCAGCATCGGCGAGTACGACCAGAACTCCGAGACGTGGTCTTCATACATAGAAAGATTCGAACTGTTCGTCGAATGTAACAATATTAAGGAGGAGAAGAAGGTTAGCACTTTATTGACTGTTGCTGGTGTTAAAACGTATAGTTTACCACGGGATCTGTGCACGCCCGACGTACCATCGAAGAAGAGTTTTAAGGAAATAGTGACTATCATTAAGGATCATCTCTACCCGAAACCATCGTTCATCGCTGAGAGATACAAGTTCAGCAAAAGAATTCAGCACGAGGGAGAATCAGCTGCGGAATACATCGTGCAGTTAAGGAAGATGTCTACACATTGTGATTTCGGCGCATCTTTAAATGACTACCTGAGGGGTCGTCTAGTCTCCGGAATCAGGAACGAGTCGACCAAACAAAAATTGTTAGCAGAAACCAGCCTAACCTTGGACCAAGCCGTCAAAATCATCACGTCAGCAGAAGCCGCTGAGAAGAATGCCGCAGCCTTGTCGATCAACGGGAGCCGCAACGTCGAGCGACTACAAAAGATGACGTCACACCATCGCAGAGTACCAGGCGGAAGCAGCGCACCATCAAGTGTCACCGTCACCGCACCTTCAGGTCATCACAATCACCCCAAAAGCAGCTCTTCGCACGACAACAAAGTGCAGTGTTCGTGTTGTGGAAGTGCATTTCATTTACGAAATCAGTGTCGATTGTTAGGTGTAACGTGTAACGCGTGTGGAAAGAAGAATCACATTGCTAAGGTTTGCCGATTTAAGAGTAAGTCACAAAAACAACATTCTCGTCATTTTAGTAATAGATATAACAGCAGGCATAATTATGTAGAAGCAGTAACAAGTGCAAGCGATGATAACCCTAAAGCTGAGAGCTATGAGGAAGATATTCCAAATTTATTCAAAATGAATGAAAGTAAAGTAGAAAATGCTAAAGTAAGCCCTATTAAATTAGAATTAACAGTTCAGGGAAAACCAATTAATTTTGAAGTTGACACAGGTGCAAGTGTAAGTGTATGTAGTGAAAACTTTTACAATGAAAATCTCAACACTTTTAAATTGTTATCCACTGACTTATCTCTGAGTTCGTACACAAATGAACCAATCGTTCCGTTAGGGAAAATAGAAGTAGATGTACAGTATCAAGGAGTAAGCAAATGTCTAGAATTGTATGTAATTAAGAAGGGAGCTCATCCTCTGATAGGACGTAATTGGCTTCAGAGCCTTGGTGTGGAAATATCTTTCAAAGATAAAATTTTTGGCATTGATAATAACGCTAGTATCGATCAAACTGTACATAGTAAACATTGCACTGAACTAACCAAAGAATTGTTTAAAGAATTTCCCGAGGTTTTCACTGATAAATTAGGTCAATACAAAGGTGAACCAGTTCAATTAAAATTGAAAGCAAACACCACACCTCGGTACTTTAAGCCACGGTCTATACCTTTTTCACTTAAAGCTAAAGTAGAAAAAGAGCTTGAGAAGTTAACAGAAGAAGGCGTACTTCTCCCAGTCAAAAGTTCTGATTGGGGCACTCCCATAGTTCCAGTTCTTAAACCAGATGGTGGAATCCGTAATTGCGGAGATTTTAAGGTTACATTAAACCCAAGTCTAGAGGTAGAAAAGTACCCAATCCCTAGAATAGATGATTTGTTTACTAGTTTACAGAAAGGTGAAAAATTTAGTAAGATAGACCTGTGCCAAGCATATATGCGACTAGAGTTAGATGAAGAGTCTAAAAAACTATGTACCATAAGTACGCATAAAGGGTTGTTTAGTTATCAAAGAATGCCGTTCGGAATCTCATCCGCAACCAGCATATTTCAGTACAGAATTGAACAATGTTTACAAGATTTACCTAATGTAATTGTGTCTAGATGACATTTTTATTACAGATGTAAATGATGAATTACATTATCAAAAGCTTAGGGAAGTTTGCAAACGTCTTAAAGAAAATGGTCTTACCGTTAAGAAGAGTAAATGTACATTTTTTGCACCTAAAGTAGAGTATTTAGGTTTCTGTATTGACAAACAAGGTCTACACACTTCCGAATCTAAGGTAGAGGCTATAAAAAACGCTCCAGTTCCTAAAACAGTAACAGAAGTCAAAGCTTTGGTAGGTCTAATTAACTACTATTCGAAGTTCATTCCTAATTGTTCCACTATATTAAGTCCTATGTATAACCTGCTCAAAAAGGACACACCCTTCAATTTTGACAAGAATTGTATTGCAGCTTTTGACAAGGTAAAAGAGCTACTCTCTAACGCTCCTATTTTGGCTCACTATGACACCAATTTACCCTTAAAATTAGCCGTAGACGCTAGCTCAGTAGGCCTAGGCGCCGTGTTAAGTATTGTCTCACCAGATGGCGTAGAGAAACCGATAGCGTATCAGTCACGCACACTCTCAACAGCTGAGCGAAACTATTCACAAATAGAAAAAGAGGCTCTTGCTATTGCTTTTGCAGTCAAAAAATTCAATCAATATTTGTATGGGAGAAAGTTCGTTTTGTATACTGATCACAAACCACTTCTAAGTATTTTTGGCTCAAAAAAAGGGATTGCCTATTTTTGCTGCTGGTCGCATGCAAAGATATGCTTTGTTCTTGTCCGGTTACGAATTTGACATTCAATATGTAAAATCGGATCAAAACAACGCAGATATGTTATCTAGATTGCCGTTGAGTGTTAATCACAACAATGCTACTGATGAGTTTGCGTGGCAAGGTACTTATTTACATTGTTTACAGGAGAGTTCATTACCTTTGACATTTGAACATGTAAAGTCAGAAACACAGAAAGACCCAGTTTTAAGTAAAATATATGGTTATATTGTAAACGG